GCAAACTGAAATAATTGAGTGAATTGTTTCGTTTACTTGATGTCGTATTGACCGGTCTCCTCTCGGACTCTTTTCCACCAATGTTTCTTTTTAGATGGATGTGTCATGCGATACAATAGACTGTGTCTCTTTTGCACTGGTGGTGATTTACAGTCGGCGCGTCGCTTTTTCTCAAAATCCTCACCAGTTTCTACGCTCCCCTTAAAAATTTGTATGAATTAATGCTCAAAGTTAATTCGTTTTTTCAGCCATCGTCTAGAGCACTGGTTCCCAGGTTCGGGTGCTTTATTACTCCTTTTGATGAACCGACAGGCCGCCGTTACCTCTAAATTACCCAAAACGGGTAAATTGACTTCTTATGAGTACCACTGTCCTAGACTGTTGCGTTGCTCTTTATTGTAACCGAATATGATTGCATGAAAAGCTACTGGTGCATGACATGCTCGCTTCAAACTGATTTAGAGGAATTCTCATTCTTTTCAGACGTGTTCTATTCGCTCTCATAGCTATTGCATGTGAATACCGTTCTCTTCATGAGTTTTTCTCATTCATTTTGTCTCATTTCACTTCACAGTTCAAATCAATTTCTTATTCTGTAGCATATACTATTTACTGGATGCGTTGACGAGTGTTGACAGCCGAAGTCAACAATACAACAATCGAATTGAATTGCTCAACAACGTTCGACAGTCAAGTGATCAATAAAAGAGTGTATTTGATAGAATGAGAATTTGAATTTAATTGCTGAGTGAAATGAATGAGAAATTAGCAGAAGAGAACATTTTTGATGATAAAAGTCATGAGAGCGATTACAGCAGCAAGGAAAAGAATGAAAACCCTGTTAGGCCCGTACGGAAATAGGAGAATGAAGAGTGTTGCCATCAACTCACCATATTTACAAGTCCGAACTAAAAAAACGCCATTACAATGGCTGTCTATTATAAAATGATAAATGCTGGAAATATTAATTTCCCAACTCCCTCGATTACCCCTCGACACCTCCAAATTACCCAAAATGGCTTCACCCCCTATGAGAACCACCAATCTGGAGGTTTCCCTTTCAGCAACATATTTCATACATTCCAATCCAAACGCGAATATTCAGATATTTCCGATCATTTTTATGTCAGGTGATAGAAGAACCTTGTATTTGCTGTCCATGTGTTTCGCGTTCATCGCGAACATTTCGGTTGGTCGCAAATCCGAATGATCTCGCAATCGACGAGGTATTAACGTGTACGAGCGTCTAATCGCTGACAAAAATCTTTTCGCGTTTCTATTTGGTTGTTGTTCATCTGTATTAGCTGATGTTGTTGGTACTGATAGTCTCTGACTACCATCTGGAATATGGTAACTCAGTACTAAGCGATGAAAATGATAACAACTGAAATAGTAAGGGTTGTAATAGTGCTGATAAAATGATTAAGAAAATTATAGAAAAACTCGAAAAGAATCGAAAATTTTAAGGATCAATTGCAGAAGCTTTGTGACACGAATGGCAACGGAACGGCAAAACTGGATAAAATCAAGAAAAAGAATGCATGAAACAAAAGAAAACTTTCACATGCTCAAAATACTGGCGAGAATACAGAAAATTACAAACTGAAGTCTCAATACAATGCAAAAACCTACCACTTTGAGCATTAACTGCTAACGGTTTTGTAGCTGTGGTTGTCGATGTTGTCGCTACTGGTTGTTGACTCTCATTCTGATTCAGATTCCTCGAATCTTCCTCATTTCTGGAGATTTCCCGAATTCCAGATGATGATTTTGCGATAGTCTCCAAGTTTCGGCTTTCCAAACTGTTTGCGTTCACGTCCTTTTCACTGGGCACTTCCTCGTCCTGTTCAGTCACATTGGTATGACATTTGTTCATTCATTAGTACAGATGTTCAAACTTAAGTTTCTCACCTGACAAGAGGAATTGTAAAGTTTAGAAAAGGTATGGCACAATTATATGCATCTTATTGCATTTCTTGTTATCACAGTTACTGTTATTACTGTTGCTATTATTACTGCACTGTGATCATTAATTTATTTTCGGCTAAAGAAATTCCGGCCGTCAGACGGCTGTCAAACGTCTAAAGAAAAATCTCAGATCTTCTTCCCCAGCTCCCGAACGCTTCTTTCTCAAAATCAGAAACTGTGAGCAAAACTTGGAATCCGTGATAAACGGTTCGTCTCCCAAATGGTTCGTTAAGATCATCTTACGAATGTCGAATGATCAAAGCGATTCGAACTTGTGCAAGGTCTATTTTCAGATGGACACTTGGATAAGTTCACTTTCAATAAATCCAAAATTGTCCTCAAGTTCAAAATATGGAATGCGCATTCAGACCTCAAAAATGAACTTCATATAATAAATGGTTGATTGAAGGAATAGAAACGAACCATAACAAAAGTCTTGTTCGTATTTATCGCATGCGATGTGCCGTGCTCAACAGATCCCAGATCCGTCAACTTATGTCTGCAATCATCCCATCGTCCATAACACAAATCTACACCCCCGACGAACGCAATCAACTGATCAACTATCACCAACTTCTCGTGATGTGACCACAAGAATGTATGTGATGGGCGATGTCGCATCACCTGAAATGATGCACTCCATCTCTTTAACTCAAAATTAAACTCCTTTCACTAAACTTGGAAATTTTCTAAGGTTTACCTCATCACATTATCAGTTTCCTAAAGCATTTCAAGAATTTCAATCGTTGATCAAAATATCCAAAATGACAAATCTATTAATTGATTAGTGGAGCCCTATCAAATGATCAAGATGATCCATTCTGGAAATGCTTCAATCATTCCCAAAAATGGAGGCGTCGGAAAGTTTCGGTGGAAACCTGTACTCTAAAGGAGTCTGAGTTCAAGCTTACGTTGAAACCCCAACCTATCATCAAAAGCTGGTTGAGTTAATAGAAATAGGGCAGATTGAAAATGATACGGGTGCTGGAGAAAGGCACATTGATTTATGTATGTTTAATCACATAAAATGTGTGAATAATTTTTGAAAACCGACAGTGAACCAGAGCAAACCTTGATGTTTTCATGCAGTCCTTCCAATGTTTGTTTTGTATACAAACTTTTCAAATCCATTGCTATCTCCATTTCCTTATACAACAATACAAAAATTCGTACTCCTTGCTCAGCTTTCCGCTGAAATTGGTAATTTCTCGTTTGTGGGTGAAAATCTTGCTAACTGTGATGATATCGATAACAATCCTAGTTAATAATAATAGCATCNAATAAGAATGTCAGTGAATGCATACCCTCAACAGTTCATCCAGTCTCCATCGATTTCCTTCGATCATTGGTCGCTTCAAATAAAGTTCAGGTGACAACCACCAATCTGCGATGAAGATCTCCTCTCGAGCTAACTCCATCATATTGGCGGCGTGTTCCATATACTTTTGACCGTCAACAAACCTTCAAATGAGAACACTGAAATGAATTCACTCAAATCAAATCGATTTCATGCAAACAAACCATTGACAAAACTGTTTCTTTCGTGATGGGAATGTTGAGCCGTACGGATGCGGCTCAAGCCAAACACGACCTGATCCAGTCATTGATTCCAATATCGCAACTTTCCACTTTTCTGCATCCAGTGGAGTGGCACATTTCAAGGCTAATTCACTGAAAATGTGTTGAAATTTTTGGCTGCGTTCAGGTATTTGGATCGAAAATGAAGGAATCCAATGTAAATCGGCATTTTCAAATGTTTGCATCCGTTAACAAACATTATCAACATTTGACCAACCAACTGCCCTTCAAAAAAGTACTATCATCCTCTTGATTTGTCGTTTACCCCTCTAAATTTTGAGTTTTCCCTATAGGCTGATTGAGGTGTTGGTGAAGTTTGCTTGTTTGCACAAGCAATCATCATAAGTGATACGTGGATGATCTCCCTGCGATTACCTTGCGAAACATTTCATAGAGACGAAAGGGTACGAAAAAATTTGAAATAGATATTGACCGTTGTTGATTAGTGATCGTCAATCCTGATGGATGTCCTTCAGTTCTGGCGAGTCCCGCAGAAACTTCAAAAGTACGATCGAATAATAAAATAAAACGAATCTGCTCGGTTCGCGCATCCATATAACACACTGATGTATCCTGAAGTTCGAAAGTCACNTTGCCCAACGAATTTCGAACTCAAGTGATCGCTGAGGGTTGAGACAAAATTGAATTGTAGAATATCACCGAGCACTGACTTCAAATTTCATCAACAAATTCATCTTAAAAACTCGTTCAAATTCAGCTTTTTGTAGTTCATGGTCTGCGCTGGATGCGGCAACAGCAAATTATGAGTAGGATTAGCAAGTGTCGAACGAATACTCATGTACCTGAGTTCTTGAATGAATTATTACTGACGATATTGCACGATCCTATGTTGCTGGCCATATTAGACGTGACGACGGAGTTTTATGTGCGATTCATGATGTGCAAATGGTATGGAATATGAGAGCATTCCAATTCCAACAAAAATAAACAACGCTCTTTCAGTACTGCTTTCGGAACTCCCGCAATAAAGTTGAAAAAATCCAGGGACAGCAGAAATCCCACAGTCAGCATGGCCATAGAAACATAGCTCGTTTTATTGCCTAAACATCTGCATACCAGTCTCAGAATTAGACTTGGCCCTTCCCCTAATAAGCTTACCTAATACCTAAAATTGAGCTCACGTTCGAAAATTAACCCAAGCCTTATGCAGAGTTCTAGCTGGAGTCTACGCCACCGCAAGATAAGCTATTCATTTCTTCGAAGAAACATGATTCATCAAACAAAAACGCACTTTAAGAATAAGCCATCCTTTTGACCATCGAAGGCAATGTGGAACACAAAAGCTCTTCCAAGTTCCACGGGATCGTTTCTTAACAAATCCCTCCGTGTATTTACCACCCACTTCACTGATAAATGAATATCGTGAAACTTCCAAAAATTCAGCCTGTAATATGGGTACTTTAGGAAATTTCACGTAATATTTACCCGCTCAAGATGCATATATACCAGCGGTTCTCACGTTCGGGTATTCAGTTACCCCTTTTGATGATCTGGTGGGCCTCCGTTACTCTCCCCACCCCCCCTCCCTGATACAAGACTTACTATTTCTACATATGATTTAGGTGGATACTCATTCTTTTCAGACGTGTTGTATTCACTCTCATAGCTGTCACATNATTTTGTTTTATATTACTTCACAGTTCTATTCAGTTTCTTATTCTGTAGCATATACTATTTATTGGATACGTTGACGAGTGTTAACAACCGAAGTCAACAATACAACAATTCAATTGAATTGCTCAACAACGTTCGATAGTCAAACGATCAATTATAGAGTGTATTTGATAGAATGAGAATTTGATTCTAACTGTTGAGTGAAATGAATGAGAAATTAGCAGAAGAGAACACATTTGGTGATAAAAGATATGAGAGCGATTGCAATAGCAAGGAAAAGAATGAAAACCCTTACGAGCTAATCATACTCAGAAATTGGGAAAATATTGCCATCAACTAACCGCATTAACATATTCGAGTTAAAAAACATCATCACAATGGCGTTCTATCATACTAATTTTTCAGCACGTTACCCCTTCGCACTTCCAAATTATCCAAAATGGGTAATTTTACCCCCTATGAGGACCACTTATATATACAGCAAAGGTCTGTTAATGCTGCTCAATTATTTTAACGGTCGAAAAGGATCAATCATTCCAATTGCACTCGCAATCTTTTAGTCTAAACTCTATTCCGTGAATAAATTCAAAAGCTTTCATAAAATGATTTTCATTCATTATAATTGATAAATCTGAGTATTATTGCGTCCAAAACTTCGAACAAATAAATGAAATCAGATGTGCGATAGAGTTCTATAAATACTCATGTTTGTCGTATGTAAGAATGAAAACAGTTATGAAAATTAGTGAAGCGCACTTCAATAAACTATTCAACAACCAAACAAGTTTAACATTCACCAAAACGATTCAAACAAAGAATTAATGACCTACTGTATCAAATGCATGAGAACGAAGGCGAGAAAATTTAAGCTGAAATCGAAAAATTTACGGTTTCGTGATGATTCCGATTGACTGGAATATGCAACACTGCTTGCAGCCATGCCTCGAGTGTTTGCTGAAGCAAATCAAATCATTCATCTATTTTCAATAGGATTTTTGAGAAAAATCGTCAGGATTCCAAAGAATATGTTGAATTCGAGGAATTATATCAATAAATCATCCATGTTACCAGTTTAAATTTAATGAGATGAAACATAACAGTTAATGTGATGAAAACGGACGGAACGACACGAAGAACAAACCCTTCTCTCTTCAGGATCTGCAACGGAGTCCGGTATAAACTTCAACGATGGAAGACGATGATTTTGCGTCGAAGATTGAGTTGATTTTCGAGGGGAACTGTCTGAAAGATTTGCTCCGTCAAATGTCATCAATTCATGAACTCATTGTCGATCACCAGTCTTTGAAAAACAGCCGTTCTCAGCCTTTTGCTACAATTCATCCGTTAGATATTTAGCAATCACAACATGGGCACCAGGCTTGAGCTAGAGCTTCCTTCTTAATGAAGTATTGAATCGAAACCCTTTACCTGACGCTCATTCTAGATGAAACATTCAGGAAAGAACAACAAAATAATGCACGATTTCCACAATACAAAGCGATATTCCAAAATTTCTCTGATTTCGAAAAATCTCTCTTACGACAGAATCTCACGCTTTGCACCAAAAACATCATTGATCTGACTTGAATGAAAGCAAAGTGAAGGA